TTTATCCTGGCAGTCCAGGTTTCACAATTAACACAGGCACACTAGCCATGTATTGATCCCAGCCCATTCATCTGTGGTTATATTATGGCAATAATTACAACTTTCTAGCAATTTGCTGGTTGTTTGAGAATGTGTAGGTGAAAATAAAAAGTATAAAAATACTTGATTAATCATAGTGTCATCATACAGCTGATCAGAAAAACTAAATAACTGAACCTGGCAGAAGGGTAAATAGTGTCAAGCTAAAATATTCATAATCCTTTAACTTTTTCACTAATGTATCCCACTGGGTATAAAAGATAGATCATAACTTCAAAGTTAGTCAAAAAAAAAAAAAAAAAAAAAAGCAACTCCTGAAACTATTGTTTGTAATTTGAGACAAATTGTTGGTGGACCGTCCACAGTTTCAGGTGCCTCGTTCACAGAGTTGAGGGACCAGCCTTATCTCTAAGAGTCTAAGCTTTTAGCCTCTTAACTACAACCTCTCACTTCTTCTCGTGGCATTCTATAATAAGGTAGAAAAGAAAACACTGTCTGAGACTTCAAAGTCAAAGCTAACAATGTTCTTAAGCATAAATCAATAAGAGGGTCAATTCACACTTGCTCTTGGTGTGTCAGATTCTGGCCCACTACGGTAAACTGATGTCAAGATGTTGTTTTGAAACAAATATCAAGTTTTTTTACTTATAATTTAAAGAAAACACAGTCTGCCTTCAGTCTTTTTAAAGTCTCATGACCAGACATGCTTATCAGTGTATTGCTACCTCAAGTTCATTGTGTCGGAGAGGTATATAAGGACAGATAAAAACAAAGCAGCATGAGTCCTTGAGGCTGTCCGGTGGGGGAAGACACAGAGAGAAAAAGAGCAGGTGGCAGAAGGCTTAACCTGAGATAAATCCCTTCATTGAGCTCATCTCCGCAGACTTAACCAGCTTTGAGTTGTCTGCTTTCTGCCAGTACAGCCAGATATGGCTACTCCCATTCAGGCAGCTAAGTCAGCCGCCAGCAACACGGCTAATCTGTCTGAGTGCAACCCGCAGGCCATATGGTCTTTGAGTGTCTACAGTCTCACAAACAACTTAATTACTACAAAACATTTTATGTTTCTAGATATATAGTTTAGGTGTAATATTTAAGTGTTTCAATCTAGATATCCATCTAAAGTATGTGATAGAGGATGGTGTAAACAGATTCAGCTTTTAGTTGTACTATAATCCTAATAAATGCTCATGTTGACGCCCCCCCCCCCCTTCCTCCATTCAGGTGAGGACAGCTTCTGTAAGCCTGTTGGTTAAAAAAGTCCTCCTGTCACAATAACAAGTGCGCATTGTAAGCTCCACTAATCCTCTGCTAAGAACGTGCCAAACTGGGCGTGATATAACACAACGGAGACCACTCAGCATGACTGTCAGTGTCAGACGCTCTTGAGAGGAACAGTTGAAAAAGCCCATTTACATGCACATTCATAAAAGCATACATAGAAAATGTCTCACTACCTGGAATTAAATTAGACTAAACTTAGCTCATTTTAAGTCTGTCAGGATTTTAAAGTTATTTTTTTTTGTCTTTTTTTTTTTGAAATAACAGACTATTGACATACAAAATAAAAAAATAAAAAAATACATATGGCTTTATTAGCTTCAGATACATAAATGATTTTTAGAAAATTTGATTGCGCTAACTTCATAATGTCATGTCTTTTGATAAGTAAGTTAAATTGATGGCCACCTGTTCATGTTACTTAAAGCAGTACCTTAGACATAAACAGCCAGAAAAAAAAAGGAAAAAAAAAAAAAAAAGCAAAAATATCAGAAAAATTATCCACCTCCACAAGTGGATCACCATTGGGGACAGTATGCAAACACCTGAAGGAGGCATATCTATCTGTTTAAACAATTATCCTGAAATATAAATCTTGGGAATGCCAAACCATTACACTATTCAGGAAGGGGATGGTTCACACACATGTCTGGGTGTGAAATGTGTGAATCGACGCCAGAACAAGACCTTGTGAAGATGCTGACTGGCTGAAGATGGTATGAGAATATCATTATTCACAAAGGTTATCTAGAAGTTGCCATTCCTCCAAAGATTTCTCCTCGGTTTTTCAAGCAATGTCTTGTCTGAAGAAACTAAAATGTTTAGTGAGTGTTTGGCCTGAACGCTTTAAGCACCATTTCAACTGTTCAGTACGAACAGGACGGCATCATGTCTGTGGGCATTTAAGTGCAAAGTGGACCGTTGCATTTTAAAAAGAGATGGCATCACAAGAAAAGAACATTATGGCCAAATATTGAAGCAACAACTGGAGACATTAATCAGGATGTTAAAGCTTTGTCAGAAAAGGGTCCTTTAAATGGACAATGATCCCAACCATTACACAAATGAACTACAAAGCGCTTTTAAGATAACAAACTCAATTTAGTGCAGTGACAAAGCCTTAATTGCAGTCTCGTTAAACATTGTTGGGGCAGAGGAGAAAATGTGTGTGTGTGAGGAAGGTGCCCTGCAAACCTGGTTCAGTTACACCATTCAGGAGGCCATAGCAAGAAAATACACATAAATTTTATAACAAGCAAAAGTTATTTAATTTAGTAATCCTAACTGACCTAACATAGCAAAAGATTTAGTCTTGAGTTAATATCAGACAGTGAGAGATAAAAATAGCAATAAGGTTTGTTTATACATTGTATGCAAATGTCTCTTTATAATATGGACTGTGTTGTTTGGGAAGAGAATCAACCCTGCAACATGTTGCACAGGTAACAGAGGACAGCCCCCTTTTTCCCCAAGACGTGGTTGCTTGAGCTAAAGACAATAACAAAGCCAAGTAATATGCGGTGAGTGGGTGGGGGCATGGCAGGGGGGGGTTGTCAGCACCATGGCTACAACCCTGTTGTTATGCTCTGATCCCCTGAGTCCAAGCCTGTTATCGTGATGTCATGGCAGGCAGAAGTGCTGATGTCGTAGGTAAGAGCAGGTATAATTGAATTGCACCTAACAAACAAGTCAAATCTCAGCCAAACAGATTATCTCTTTCGAGAGTTGGTTTCCAGCCCTGTCTTAAAAATAAGAGCAAAAACTGATCATCACACCACCGCCACCCGTCCACTCCACACATGGCACTTTTACCGAAAAAGAGATATTATGTATTTTCCAGGCACATGGTACCATTTCATAGCACAATCAAGTAATTATGTTCCATTCAGCTGCTATAAAAACGCTGCATAGAATAAACATAACCAAAAACAAGTTTAGCACCTTGACATTGACTTCTGTTTCTTTAATAAGCTCCTGCTCTTACCGACACTCCAGCTTTGTGTAAATAGGCGGCACTTTGTATTTAAGCAACCCTTTAGGTACCCCAAATGTTTGCCACAGGAGATTCAAGAATTTCTCAGACATGCATGCAAGAGTCAAAGCAACATCCCAAGTATGTTTTTGATGAGGGAATATCATAACAACAAGATATAAAGCTCATAAAGGTGAATTTTAAATAATACATCCCCCTTTAGCCAGCAGGGAGGCATTCATGATATCAGCTTTGTATTTTGCTAAGAAAAACTGCTAATAACCAGCGCTCACAGAAATGTTTTAATGAGTGAGGAAACACCTCTGCACGTTATCAGTCTAAATCTTCATTAGCATTTGCACTGCCTTCATCATCATTCCAAATGCTGCTAAAAGGTCCCCATGGGGATCTGGCTGAAGGTTAAACCTAATGGTGAACATAGGTCCTCATGGAGTCTGAACATATGGCATATTTGTCCAAGATCACAGGTAACATGCTCAGTAAGTATGCTTTGTGTTCACATACATGTCAACATCATTAAATCAGTAAAAGTCAATTTATTTCAGTAATCACAATTCCAAAAGTGAAATTATATGAATTTTTAACACACAAAGAGATGTTTTTAAGTTTTCTTTCAGTTCATGCAAGCAAAATAAAAAAAAAAAAATAAAAAAAAATCAGTTTCTGATAAAATCTGAATATTACAAGACTCCGTTGAAAAAAGGACTTGTAATACAGAAATGTTATGATCCGTGTGGTCACGGGGCAGACTGCTAACTTGAGAGCTATCAAGCAGACAATCATTTACACCTTTATAAGAAAGATGAGCAAGAAAGCATTGTTGTGATAGAAGCTGGAAAGTCATTTTGTCTGCTCACCATGTCACAATTTTGCATTTTTGTTAATTCTGCACCTGGCTTTTTAAACCACTAAAAAGAGCCATTTCAACCATGTTAGAGGACTTTTTGGACCCACTTTGTAATGTTACATATTAAAAGAGGATATGAATTGAAGTTTCACTGCTGTTAACAAAACAACCTTTGTTGTTTGTTTTTTTTCTTTAAACAAATACCGTTTTATAATTTTTCTATTAAACATGTGCCCTCTCAAAAAAAAAAAAATAACTTGTGAAGGGAGAAATCAACCTTAAACTGTGTTGGAGGAAAAAGAAGCACACACACAGCTGTTAGAATATTCGGCTCTGGAGTTTGATATATTATTAAATTTTTATAAGAAGTTGGCTTTTATTTGTTAAAATTGACTGACTTAGCTTTTTTGCTTCTGCTGCCCTGGCTGTTTCTGTCAGATTTTATTTTTAAAATTCTGATTCAGTATAGTATAGTGTGCAGTATTAGAAATGCTCAACAGCCTCGTCATTGCTGATATAAGTTAACCAAAGACATTCAGAGTGGTGACACATTTAGATGTTTGTTTATGGAATTTTTTTTTTCCTTACTTAGCTTGAAAAGTCACTCTTACATCTGCATTCACTTACAAAACAAATGTGACATTTGAGCTTTACAAAGTTTCAAAAAGAGCTGCCTGGCTTTAGCCAGGTCCCTACAGATATCTTATCTCTGTAGGCTCATGACGTGCAGGAGGGTTGAGGAGGAGACAAAAAAGAAGAGCTTTCTCCCATGTAAATGCCCACCAACCCCATCAGCCACACAAGCGCAAAGAGATAAGAGATAAATGATGGCCGTCTCACCTGGTCGTCCACTCTGTGGGCCACAATGGTCGCCCCCTCCTCTTGCTCAGCATCACTCAGGGGTCGAATCCTCAAGGCAACCTGTGGCAAGCAATATGAATTCAGTCATCCTTGAATTTCATTGACACAGTGAGATCCAATTTACCAGGCCGAGACCAAATAAGCAAGTAATAAACCTGAACCATCATTCAAACACTATTCCTAGTTTCCAAAGGATGTTTTTGACTATGACAAGGGTGGTTTTTCTCAGAAAAATAGATGAGGTAAAGTACAAATTTTAAATTTCACACTGAGAGTTGCAGAGAATGTAACAATAGCCTAATTCAAAAGTCTATTCATAGGAAAAGCATGACAAACAACATGCAAAGGAAACTAAAGGTGGACATTTTTCAGTCCATCTAAAGAAACTTTATGAAATATTTACAGTATTTGCCAGATTTTTAGGAAAATATCCTTAACAAAATACACACTAAAGTATGATTCATAATAAATTGCTGTCGATACTTGCTTTTTTTTTCTGTTTGTTCAAACTGTGCCAATTTACAACTAGAAACTCCAGGTATTTTGTAGTTTTTTTTTATTTTTATAATGGATTTGTTCACCTTCCTTAGATTACACTCCAGGGTCTTTTTCACATGTAGCATTTACACATGGGAAAAAAAAAAAGCTCTTATCTGACCAGAGTACCTTCTTCCACATAGTTGCCATGGCTCCAATGTGTCTTGTGGCAAACTGCCAAATTAGCTTCATACGGCTGGCTTTTAACAATGGTTTCCTCAGGGTGCTCTTCAATAAAAGCAGTTGGTGAATCTGCAGATCCCCCCACCAGAGCTGTAGATCCTTACAGCTCTTTTGGAGTTACCATGAACCTTTAGGGCTGTACTTCTGTCAGTTCAGGTCAATGTTTGCAGTTGTGCAATTTTCTCTACATTATTGATGAACGTTTGAACACTGCTCCATGAGATGTTTAAATCATGGGATCAACCCAGTGGATCTCAAGTACTTTTTACCTAGGTGTATCAGAGTAAAGACCAAACGTTTTATATGTTTTTTTAGTCAAACACAGTCATTTCTATAATTCCACAATTGCATCCCACATGTTATCATCTAAAATCAAAATAAAAAAATATTGACATTTCCAGTTGTAAGGTGGCAAAATATGAAAAAAAAATTAATGCACTTGCCGGTTATCTGTTATAATTAACCAACGGGTTTACAGCAATTCCTAATCTGACAGATTAGGAGGTGCTGTGTTTGAGTAAGTGGATGTGGCTTAATGTGATAAGAATGTACTTTCAAATTAAACACAGCGCTGTGGCTATAGATTGTAAAATATAAACACTAAATCAGGCAATTAGAATTAGTGGAGGAGATAAAATCAGACTTTTTGTCAATATGTGATCTCAGGGTAAGAAATGTGCTGCATTTGTGCTGCAAGATGTCTTATAAAACTGGCAGTAAGGCTGGTATATCTCATATTGACCAAGGCACCAGATGGTCATACTATGGCTTTTTCCTCCATCAGCACATTGTGGAAGCTTTATTACATGCTGGACAAGAGAGACCAGGCAGCTGAAACAGTCACCTCAATAATTCAGGTGTGCACTGCAGAACACAGCGCAGGCAGAGCGAGTGGAAATTGAAGAAATAATAGCAACAGTGGAAGACATTGGGAGGTATAATGAGAAACAACAGGGGAAAAATAGAAAAATACACAGTGGCCACATGTACCTTACCTTCATTATGTCTGTAATGTAAATTGTTAGTTTCCGTTTTCATAGGTGGTGTTTGCTATGTTAAAAACAGCACCTCAATGTCAGTTATTGGGATTTTATGTGAGTGGCTGACTCAAAAAGGAAGAAAAATAAATAGTTTTTAAAGATTCTTGCCAATAAAAATCTGAAATTGTGATGTCCATGCAACCTTCTTGACACTCACATTAAAAAAAAATTTAAAAAAATTGCAACAAATTGCCTTTACAGGTTACAGTCCAGATTAGCGAGAAGACCAAGGAACACATCAAGTGAGTCAGGGATAATGCTATGGAGAAGCTTAATGCAGGGTTATTATTTTTCACTTCATCAATGAGTGGCAAGTAAAGTATATATTTTTTTTATAGAAAACCATAACCAGCCCCATTCGATATCATCCACAGCTATGCAGGGTACACAGTAAACATGTCTGGAGGTAGAAAAGACATGTGAAGCACTGCATGTGGATCACAACTAACAATGTTCATAACCTTGAATATATACGACGCCAACATAAAAACATGTGTTGACAGCACATGGTCTGTGGACTCATTTCTTTAGCAGAATTGATTGGTAGATATATGGAGCTAAATATAAGACAATCTGAGGAGAAAAACCCACAAGAGGCTGCAAAACATTTGCAACTGGGGCAGAAGTCTAAGCAGAACAACAATTCTAAACATACAGCAACAATGGAATAGTTTAGTTTAGTTTAATATGTGTTAATATAGTCCAGTCAAAGCAAAATCAAAATATTATTCTATGACAAAACTTGAACGTCTTGCAATGGTGTTTACACCCAATTTTACCTCAGGAAGGTGGAATAGAACTGATCACCATACTTTTCAGAATTTATAATACATTTTGTTTATGGTTTTAATGTAATAATAATAATAAAAAAAGATATGGAATTCAAAAAGCATACCTACCTGTGCAATTCACCGTTTAATACAGTCAAACAAATGTCTAATGAGATGACTATTTTAAATGCATCACCCAATTTAATTATTTCAACAAAAGCTACACTAGAATTATTAAAGATGTCAATAAAACAGGAAACATTTAGGCCTAATTCGTAATACATTGCTTTTTCATATTTGTTATGAACATACTTTTTAAGCAACTTGTAAAAAAAAAAATAATAATAATAAGTTTAAAGACATTTTTTTAAACTTACAGTTAGCTGTTGGTCCTTTGATTCCCCCGTGTCCTTCATGTTCGCTTCGGGTCCAGGTGAGGGGAGCAGCTTTAACACCGGACGCCGCACTGGGCCATCTCGTTCTGCGGTGTGGGCACCTGCATGCCACCTTCCCCTAAAACCCACAAGCACCACACGCTTAGACACTCTCTGACTAATGGCTTCTGCTTTCTAATTATGCCCAACAGTCTCTATACACTTTTTTTTTTTTTTTTTTTACACGCGTAGCCACCAACCTAACAATGCTCGGTCGTTACTTTCCCCCCCCAAAACACGCGCTCTATCCTCCTCTGCGTTTGTTAAAGTAAGTCGACGCTCCCACTTCTTCTCCTCGTGTATGTTGGATTTCTGCGCAGCAGCTTGGAAACGCAGGAGAGAGAGAGAGAGAAAAAATCATCTCCCTCCTGTGGAAAAGAAGAATGAGTCAGGTAACGATAGCAGCACTTCCACCTGCTTCTTTCCCCTCCTCTCCGCTGCCTGCCTTCTGCTGCTGGGTTTCTGTCTGTGCGCGTTTGTTTCTTTTGCGTACGTGTGTGTTGTCCCTGGAGACCTGCGGCGCAGGCGTTATCAAGGCAGCTACGGCTACTGTAAACAATAGTAGCACACTTCCGATTGTAAAATAAAACAGTCCAATATTTTGTCAGGTCAAAGTAAAAACAAAAAGTTCTAATTGTTCGATATATAAGCTCAAAGAACTCATAATTATAAGGTACTGAATCATAATTATAAGATAGAGAATGTGAAGGGAAAAGTACATCTTTTTTTTATTATTTAAATGGTTGCAAACTCCTGCAATAGCCACAACTAAGACCTGAATCAAAAAAAAAAAAAAAAAAAAAAACATCTACGGTAAATAGAGCATGCCTGACAAATGGAAGTAGACTGACTGAAGAAAACAAACAAAAAAAAATCTAATCTCAAGATGGACTACAAAAACAAGTAGTAAATGAAGTCTGGAGAGGATTTCAAAGCCATTTCTAAGGCTGTGGGACTCCAGCGAATCACTAAGTGCCATTTTCCACAAATGGAGAAAACATGAGAATGTTGTTAAACTTTAAGCCTTCTAAAATTACTGTAAGGTTGCCTCAACAACAACTTATCCAGGAGGTCACACAACATCTACAGCACTGCGGGCGACATGGTGTTCATGATTCAGTAATAAGTGTTACTGTTCCTGCTGTAATAGTGTTTAAATGGGCTGAATTTATACAACAATTTCTTAGTTTACTGACCTCTCAAAGAGCTTTCACTCTTGGCTTTTATTCACATACACACACACACGCGCGTGTTCTCGTATCATACAATACTCAGTTCAGTAGGCAACTTGGGGTTAGGTGCCTTCCCCAGGGTCACATCAGTGCACGGTGAAAGTTGGAATCAACCCACAATCTGCTGATTATACAACTCTTCACCCAAAAGTTTTGCTATAAATATCTGAAGCATGTGTAGAATAACATTCAATCAAATCAATCAACCACATTTTATTTGTATAGCACATTTCAGCAACATAATTAAAGAAAAAATAAAAACAGCATGTGATATTGAATAAACAGTAAGAAAGAGAAAGCGATAAAAAAAAAAAAATAAAGAAGATTAAAAACACTTTTGTTATGGAATTTGAGTGCCTGTCGTCGCCGGACTCCGCCGTCCGTTTAATTAAATTATAATAATATAACTTGTTGAATTAATTTAGAATCTAATTTTTAACCAATAAGATGAAACAAAAATAGAGCCCCACCTAATGATTTTTTTTCTTCTAACATCCAACTATTTCTGGTTTTTTATTGTGCCATGTTAAAAAGGAGGGTTCAGCAACACTTTAGCAACACTACGCTGACATCTGCTGGATGGAAGAGAATACACAGTGCAGATTAGCTTCAACCTAACACGGATGGTCAGTTCAAGTAACAAATATGACTCATGAAAAAAAAAAAAATGAAAAAAGAAAACAAACATTATTTTGGACTTCTTTTAAATTAACTTTATAAAACATAAGTAACCAGTTGTTAGTCTATGTTAAATACTGAATATTCACCAGGAAAAAGCTGGAGAACAAACTCAATCAGGTGGAGAGACAGAATCGTAGCAAGACTGCGAGATGATGTTAGCCTCAGAGCCCTACAGGCTGTGCGGATCATCTGCCTGGGATCCTGCCATGCATATGCAACATCAGTCCGACCCAGGAGACGTTTCCAGTACAACGAGAGACGTATTGCTTCGTTCTAGTATCTAATAAATCTCATTCATCAGTCTTCAATGACTGTAGAGTTGATGTTCTGACATCCAAGACCATGAAAGTCCAGAGGGGATTTCTGTTGGTTGACCTTATTCTTCTTGATTCTTAGATACTTTGTTTACATTGCAATGTATTGTGTTTTGTTGTTGTTTTATTCATCTAACAGCAAAACAAAAACCCATCACTCATTGTACTCAAACTGGTTTATTCAACTCACAATTAGACTTCATGTTTTGGGACACACAAAATTAAGCACCTCACTCAGTGCCTTTACAGTGTAACATGCTACAAAAAATACTATTAATCAACACTGCCTGTATTAAATTCTTACAAAAAAATTAGTTAATAAAATTGTGCTGTTTGAATGACTGAATTTAAAGGGGGGGGGGGGAAACAACAGTTTTTGTTTTTAAATAACCATAGTCAGAACAGCACAGCTTACTTGACTATGATCTGCATTGGTTGGATTAGATATGCACAATAAAAATTAATGACCTTTTAGACCATAGAAAAAAGAGTGATCTTGTGTGATATTGCCACAAAAACTAGAAAAAATATATAAAAATGGCACACAATTTAAAGAACTCTAAATAAAAAAAGAATAGCATGTTATTTTACACATTATGTACAAAAGCGAAGGTCTCAAGGTAGTTTTTCGGTTTCTGGAACGTAAAGCTCGTTTATGTAAGAATGTAAAAAAAAAAATAATAATATTAATGCTCTTCACCACCATTACCTCCTGCAGTGTTGCCTTCAGTGCTGGGTTTGTGCTTCACAACTTTCAACTCCATGGCGCATCAGGAGATAAAACCTTTCGTTTTTCCAGATTTGACTTGTATGACTTAATCTTTAAATATATCCAGATGCAAGCTGTGAGAAGTCACAAAGCTTCACAGAGCGACAAGCAGAAGAATCTTCATTTGAAAAGTATCTAATCTGGTCTTTCAAGACCTTTCTGAACTTTTCGTTAGATATCAAGTGAACCAAAGAACAATTATAGAACAGGTAACGCAATGTTAAGAAAGATCTTCAAAAATGTGAAAGGGTGTCAGTCAGGACCTTGAAATACAGTGCCTAGCAAATGTCGTCATACTGACTGAACTTCTTCAGATTTTGCTACAAGCAAAAGCTTCAATGTAACTGTTAGTTTTTTTTATGTCAGAGATCAATACTGTGATGTCAAGAAGTGGAAGCAAATTGATACACGATTTTCGAAAAATAAATGAAAATAAAAATAAATGAAGAAAGAAAAAAAAAACATAAATAAGTTTGGTGTTTTTAGCACTGCTTATTTTTGATACCCCTAAATAAAACCTAACGTGCTTTTAAAATTCACGTACCTGCAGCCGTGTGAAAAGGAAAGGAATATGGCACAACTACAAACCGATCTAGAAGAGCATCACTCCGAGTTGCAGACATCCACAGCTTAGATTCAAGAAACTGTTAACATGTCACCTATAATTTATGAACCTCACAAAGGGGCCTTTATGAAAGAGTGGGGAGAGGAAGCCATTGTTGAAGAAAGCTGTAAGAGTCGAATGTTCTTCACAGACTAAAAACTTGCAACTATAATTGCAGGAAAAAGCTAACTCAGCGGGTTGAATGCAAGTGCAAGCCGCACTTCACACATTTTGTATTTGCAAAAAAGAAATCCTAACAATCTTGTATCATTTTTACTCTACTTCCCAACGAGTCACAATTTGTGTTGGTTCTATTACAAAACAAAAAATCCCAACGAAGTACATTAAACCTTTTGTTTGTAGTGCAAAACGTACATGCAAAAGATCAAGTGGCATGATGACTTTTGAAAGGCACTGCAGTGAAGAACAGCACTGGTTTTTATTTTATTTTATTTTCTTTTGGCCTGAAACCTCACAGGTCGCCCGGCGTTCTGGACTGAAGAGACGTTGAAGTTTGCCCTCTCTGTGATGCATCCAACAGCTGCTTCCTGCTCTTTTGCGCGTTTCCTCCTCGCAGATGTCAGATGGAAGTCTAGGCTTGGAAGTCGCTTCCAAAGTGTCTGCTCTGCTCCTCGGTCATGGACAGGTAAGTGGCCCTCATCGTAGGCGAGTACTGGGGAGGAAAGACAAACACAGACATATACAGAAATATTTTACACGAACGCTCAGAGCAGGGTGAGTCTTCAGGGAGGAACAAATAAAGAAGGAAAGAGACACGAGGAAGTGGTCCACTGAAAATCTATCTTATGCGATGCTCAGTACTTTGCGGACACCAGCAGTGATGTTTCATAGCAATTGTATATTTGTCTCTGCTAGAGCAGAACAGAACCGTTTGTTCTTCTAGACAGAAAATAGCAACTGTTTACCAGCTGCTACCCACAACAAAGGAAACTTTATGTTCACAGAGTCAGCAGTAGATAACATTTTCAGTGGAATATTCCTTTGACTCACTCCCATTAGTTACTTCAACAAACGTAGCTTCTGCTCAATGAAAGTACTTAATACATTTTTTAATACAGTTTTTCCAGGTGCTTCTCAATAAATTTGATTATCTTCAAAAAGTTAGTCAATTTCGGTAATTAATTTAAAAAAATTAAAACTCATAAAGATTTATGCTATGCCTGACACAACCATGGTGACGACTGATGACCTTACAGTTGTTCGACAGTCGTTTGATTCCCCGAACAATAAGGGGAAGCCACAAACTTTAATTGCTGATGAAGTTGGCTGTTGTCAAAGTAGTGGAACTAAAAATATTAATGAAAAGTTGAGTGGGAGGAAAAAAGGTCTTTTCAGATTAAGGTAGATTTTGCATTTCATTTGGAATGCAATGCGGCAGAATTGGGAGGAAAAGCGAAGGAAGAGGCACAGAATCCAAGTTACTCGAGATACAGATTAATGCTGGTGATGATTTGTGTTGCCATCTGCCGCTGTTGGTTCACTGTGCTTTAACAACCCCAACATCAGTGCCATCGTCTACCAGGAAATATTACAATGCTTCATGCTTCCCTCTGCATGACAGGCTTTATGGAGATGCTGGTTTCCAGCTTTCCAGTAGTATTTCAATCTAAAAGTGACAATACCTGGTTTATTAACAACAGTGTCACTGTGTGAGAAACGAGAACAAAAAAGACTTTGCATTTAGTATATTTCCTGCACAATGCAGAATCATAGTTTATATTATGCTCATTTTTATGTTTCACAAAATATTTTTTATTAGTGTACATATTGTATTTTACATCTCTCTGTGTAATGAATCTAAACAAGTTTAAGATTTTTAATTATATCATTAAAATAAATAACCTTTTAGCCGATATACTAATTTATTGAGAT